AATTAATTGCCACTGTTTTAAAAGGTTAAAAATTAATTTTCATTGTTTCAAAAAGTTAAAAATTTGTTTGGATTACTGAAAGACACATTTAGGTCTTAGGGCCATTTAGGGATGAAAAAAGTTATTATCATAAGAATAGTTGCCAAATATAAAGTCTCTAGGCTTTTCCTTGTACTACCAAGGTCACCAAACCACAAAAACGTCTTGAAAAGAGATCTTGAGCCTTTCACTTTCGTGGCTACTTTTTTTCTTACTGTTAACATTTTCTGCGGCTAACGGTCAAAATTTTCCAATTTTTGCGTCTAACGGCTAAATTTTTGGCCCGTTTTACGACTAACGGTTAACTCCATCGAGACCCTCTTGTTTAGGTAGCGTTGGGTAACTAACTCGATTCGAAGCGCTCTCCTTCCAATGACCGATTTTTATAAGCGCCCCTATTCCAATAGCTCCCCTATTCCAATAAGCGCCCCTTACAACAAGCACCCCTGCATTGCGAAAGTGGCATGCATGCGAGACATTGATGTGTAATAGACTGATTTACAGACGGGAACTGATATGGTCTACTTTCTCATCTGAACCCAATATCAACAAATCGCACAGACCCGAATAGTGTTTGGGCCATGCGAAATCTTATTGTTACAGTTCTTGAGTCAAAAAAAAAAATCAGTTGTTTTCAATTTAAAATGACTCATCACAATCCGATGTTAGTATTAAATGAGAACGCGAGTTTAGAGCAGTTTTCAATTGAGTGTCACAAAACCAAAACCAAAGTAATCACTCTAGCCAATTAGAAAGGGCACAAACAATCCAGTGAACCAATCAAAACTTCAAGTAATTACATGTAGTTGACGTGAAGCGCGGGAAAACGCGTGCGATCGAGTGCGTCATGAGTGGTTTTGGTTTTACTTCTGATTGGATGAAAAAATTGACCGAGTTTTTAAGTGTAAAACAAATTACTTTTCGATACTCATATGGAAACCTGCTCTATACAACGATAATAATAGCTGATAATGAAGAAACTCCATCGCATTTTTCATGTTCAATGCATTTTTATCATTATTGTTCAGTTATTTTCGTTCAGCATTGTCTGAGTGGCGTCCTTAATTATCGTCGAAGTGGATTTGGGGAGCACAAACCACAGATCTGGTCAGGACCTAGTCCGTGTTTTGATAAAGATGGAGTTATGAAATTTGTAAGTTTGATGGGCGGATGTAAGTGAAAGCACCATTATAGTAAGTAACTAAGTAACTTAATTTTACCAGGGCAGCCCAGGCTGGTATCCATAGGCGCAATTCTTGCCAGAGATATATATGCTTATAATGGCCTATACAGCGAGGCTCCACCCGCAAAGGGAACCTTTTCCAGGCTTTAGGTATATAAAAGGGTAGGGATTTCACAAGATGAAGTATATGAAAGGGTAGGAAAATCTGTCATTTAGTTATTTAAAGGATCCTTTAATTAAAATATTTCAAACAGGCGCACTTAATGGCTGGATCATTTGTACTACACGGAAAATGACAAGAGATTTATCCATAATACGGCCGGTTATGAAAGGATGCGAAAGGGTCACCTTTTATCAACCAAAGGTATACGAAAGGGTACCTTTCCTGTAAAAATGGTATACAAAATGTTAAGGGGCTGGACCTCGGCGTGGAGCCTCCCCGTGTAAAACTTTTAAGAGTACACCCGCGGGCCCAGTCTTCGGTCACCAACTTTTTTTTCATTCTCTAACTTTACGGTTCACAGTCGCACATGACCGTAAGTGTTCTACGGTAATCCGTGTCTGAAGTACTTAGGATTCTGATGTTTTATGATGTTTTCTTTTGGTTTGTTTTTTTATGTTTTTTATTTCTTGATCACAGCCTCCGCCTAAAGACCCCCCTTGGTTTACTGACGATAAATGTCATATGAGTGTCTGTGCAGGGGCGCTCGTGTTAACCAAGTCCATGTGTTTTATGAAAGGAGCTTCATGTCCTCCAGTAAGTTCAACACATTTATTTTACGTTCTCCACAGCTCTTGGATATATGGGTTATTGACCAAGCGTGAGGTCAAGATGACTGGATACTGACCAAGTTCTTTTTTTGCGTGATCATGGATCGAGGTCCATAAACACGCTAAAAAATAAACGCAGCCAAACTCCAGCCATTTTGAACGAACAAGCTTGGTCAATAAAGACTTATTATATGGAAAAAGAACACAATTTTCTGCCGAGACACAGCGGGTAATCCCGAGCGGGCCAGATAGCGCCATCTTGCCCGCTCGGGTAGCCAATCACAACGCAGGATTCAGTTCCGTGACTTGCCCGTTCATGGAGCTAGCCATACAATAAAACATCTTATTTCTCATCGACATTTCTAAGCATATCTACCCTGGTTATCACCTGAGTGTGTACGTATAAATGTAGAATAAAACCCTTCCATTTATCTCAGCGTGCGGAAGCTGAGGACCTAGCTGGAGCTGAAATCAGTGGTGTATTGACATCTGGCCTTGGTACTTCAGATCGAAGTCTTGCTTAAGGCATGCGACGGCCAGCTTTACAAGGTGGCCGTTTCAATTGAAACCACCATGAACGATTGAATGTTATCTTTAGTTAGAAGATTTCTTTTGCCCTCAGGGTCAATACTTGGCGGTAGGTCCCAAGCCTTCTTCTCCTGCAGACTGCTGTGTGTGTAAACCATGTAAGTTTAGCGTTGAAAACTACGCCTCTGATCTATTTTCAACATAATTCTTTAGATCCGTAGAAAACCCAGGAAGTGAACGAAGATTGATATGGATCAAAGTAAAAAAGGCGAGACCGACGGTTTCTTTGTCCAAGTTTTGTTACAACTGAAAAGTCATTAAAAACAGTTTTGCATTTTGTTGGCGAACTCTTCGGGTTTAGATTTTAAAAATATCACGAGGCGGGAGAGAGGGAGGGGTCCGGGAGTCCTCCCTTTTGCTTCAAAATGTAACACCCGAAGGACCAAACATCTCCCCTTTTATTGGAACACGAATTGGTTAACTACACTGTCCCCAGTTTCTCCTCTTCCAGTAGACTAATGTTCAAGAGAGGCCCATTATAGGTGGGGCGGGGGATGTGATATTATGGCCTAAATATCCCGTATCCCGTTAATTCCACGTTTTATCTGATCTAAATATCCCGTATCTCATGAATGTTTCCCCCAAGTATCCTGTCTCCCGTTACTTTTTTCCCTAAATTTCCCGTATCCCGAAACCCCCTTATGGGGCGCGACTAGAAGAAACAACTCTTGAGAATAACTTGCATGAAACATGAATGCCTTCCACAAGTTCATAGAACTCTGATGGTACATAACCTGGGAAGTGAGTTTAATTATTAATTATTCTTCGTCATTTTAAATAACCCAGATGAGCCCCTGTAACAAGCAGCAACGAAAGAACACTGTTACCGAGGATAAAACTTCCTACCTACTCTAACGAAACAGCAAACAGCAAAGAAGAATATGACTTCTTAACAACCCTCAGGCAGTCGCCGCTGCATCGAGATTCTGATAACAGAGAAGATTGGTTTCCAGCGGCCCTGATCGACGAATACCAGTCTTCAATTTACACTCGAACACTTTACAAATTTTATTAACGTACCAGTCAGAGCATGGCATGATTGATTGACATACGATGTCGCGATAGCATGACTGATTCTTTGGCGAAAACCGCTGGCTAAGTAAATTAAGTTGGAGTTACAGCTGCAGGTTATTTGAACTCACGCAGCCGCGTTTCACGAGGAAACAAATAAGGAAGGACCTTTTATTTAAACTCTTTTACCATTAGTTTGGTTTCATCATCAATATCGCTGCGGACGATTCTTCCAAAGATCAGTAAAAATTTTTGTCTGGTTTATCTCGTTGAAAAACAAACGCTTTTATATCGCTGCCCTTGAGTCAGTCTAAATATCTGCTGTTAAGAATGAAATAAAGCATTTATATAGCACTTCTAAAATATAAGAAATATTTCAATGCACGATGTGAAAAATATGAAAAAAAAAATGATATAATACAATAATATGTAAAAAGTATCTACTGATGTTTTATGTTACTTAAATAAAAGTCGTCAAGTTCTCCTACTGACTTTTTGGGTCAGAGGAATGGGTTGTTGACCAAGCGTGAGGTCAAGGTAATGTGCCTGATTCTTTTTTTGTGTTTATGGTCCAAGACATAGTCGAGCTCCATAATCATACAAAAAAATGACGCCAAGATCCAACCATCCTGACAGAGCAAACTTACTCAATAAAGAATTTATTATATGGCCGGCGAGCACTTGGCCGGCGCATTTTGGACACTACTGCCCGTTCGGACAGCCAATCACAGCGCAGGATTGTGGTTATCAGTTATTTCTGCTCCAGAGCCGTTTTATGTCCCGCAGCAGTGGTGTTTTGTTGTTGGTCAAAGCTGCTGAGCATCGCGTCATTGTAATGGTGAATTTAAAGAAGGCAGTCGGAGTTAATATGAGCTTACTTCGCTCCAACAGGATTAAGCGCCCTCTTTCTCACTACCAGCTGAATTCTGGAAGTCTTGGCTGGTCTTACAAGTGAGGTAAAGTAAAACCATTTAGCAGTCACTGACGAATATTTGCGTGCTGAGGTGGGCCACCTGTTTCGTTTCCTCTGATTTTGAAAGAAACTGAGAAAACAGGGTCATCTTGACGCGATAGAAGTCATCGCTATCGAAATCGTGAGCCAGAACGGAGAACCGCGATCTTTCTCATGTTTCACTAAAAATGCTCTGATGCTGCTAAATTTGCACCACGTAGACAACCAATGAAAATAATTCTTTTCATCATGGACCAGAATCTAGTGCATTATTAGCGTGTATACCAAAAACAACAACAAACGCGAAAAAAATGACTGACGGAGGCAGGTGCCTCGGTTTGCCAGTTAGTAGCTACGACCAGTCTTCTCGTGCTGTCATATCACAAAGTGACACGGGGTACTTTGATAGCCCTCCACGTGTAACAATAAACACTCTTTTTGAAAAGTTGTAGTGTTTACGTCTAGAAAAAAGCAAATATTGATTTGCATGAGGATTGCTTTTGTCGTTCAAGAAGCAAGCTGAATATTTCAACACAGGGTTTCTCTCATTACGGACAGAGCTTTGGGGGATTCCTTAACGGACGGCCAACACAAAAAAATGTAAAAAAAAAAAAGAAGTAAGTTTAACGCTTTTCAAGCTCTTAACGGCTCTTGGATAACGTCTTGTTTCTCGTCGACATTTCCATGACTTACATGTAAAGTTATGCATACGGCTGCCTTGAAAATTTAAAATTAGGAAATCTGATAATCACCCCAGTGTGACGTGTTCGTATAAATGCAGACAAAAACCCTGAAGAGGACCTAGCTGGAGCTGAAATCAGTTGTGTGTTGACATCTGGCCTTGACACTTCAGATCAAAGTCTTGCTTAAGGTGTGCGACTGTAATGCTATTTTTTGGTTAACGAGATTTTCGTTTTCTCTCAAGGTGAATACTTGGTGGTAGTTCCAGACTCTTCCTCTGCGACNTTTTTTGCCTTTGCGCACCACAAGGCGAGGTAAAAGGGTTTGATTTTGGTGAGCTCCGAGTCCGTTTGACTTTCTCTCCTCCTTTCCCAAGATTTACCTGCGTTGCACATGGCACATCTTATTTGAAATGCAAGCAACTTGTCCCGCAGATTCAGCAGTGTTCTGTAACAGTTCCTGTACAGGTGGTTAGGAAAACAAGCGTCCCCTGTACTCTCACTTTTGCAAAATCGCTTATCAAGCGCTGTAATTTTAAGGTTTTTCCGTAATCCGAAAACATCGTGAACCTCTGGTTGGTATTTGTTGTGTTACCACAAAGACGGCACAAGTTTTTGTCAAATGTTGCAAATTCCCCTGACTGTGCCATATTTATAACATTTGACACATTCAAGTTTGCCGCGGAAAACTGCGTAAAAGTTCAAAAAAAGGGATTGGACAAATTGAGCAGCCAATCAAGAAAAAGAAATTTTCTTACTGGGACAGATCTCGCCAACAAGAGATCTGGGAACGAGATTACGTGAACCCTGTGCGCTGCGAACGGAAGCGAACGGAACCTGAAAATGGCGCTTGTTTCGACCAACATCAACGAAACATTTGATCAAGAATGTTTTGATGTTGATGACTTTGATTTAGATGACAACACAATAATTTCATTGGAAGAAACCTTACAAAGCATAGAAAAAAGCTTTCTGAGCAATCCAAGAAATTACACACTATTCTCCGGTGGTGCAAGTGGCAGTGATACGTATTGGCAAAATTTAGGTGCCAAGTACGGCGTCCGTGTTAAAGCATTTTCCTTCGCGGCTCATGGCACAAGAAACACTGCTAGAATTGTTCTAAACGATGAACAGTTGAAACAGGCTGATGAATTCTTGCATAAAGCTAACAAGACTCTAAAAAGGCATTTCCCAACTAGCAAAAGCTTCGTAAATAACTTACTTCGTCGTAATTGGTACCAAGTGAAGGACACAAACGGTGTATTTGCCGTTAGCAGACTTAGTGCGAGTCGAAGCACAGTTGAAGGTGGTACAGGATGGGCGGTACAAATGGCTGTGGACTCCAAAAAGCCCGTATATGTATTCGATACAGTGAGCAGTTCGTGGCAACGGTACGATGATAGGAGGAAGAAATTTATGTCTTGTGAAGCGCCAAGGCTGACTTTAAATTTTACAGGTATCGGGACAAGGACTTTACCAGATAATGGAAAAGCCGCTATTGAACAAATCTTTGAGAGAACTTTTGGAAAACCATGAAGATTCATCAGAAAGTGGTATGAGAATATTCTTATTAGGACAAAGACAATGACGCACAGTTATATAACTGGCTAAAAATGGTGGTGTGCTAGTAGAGG